TTTCCTATATTTGTTCCAGTGGTTCCGATCACTGTTTCGTTTCCTATATTTGTTCCATTGGTTCTGATCACTGTTTCGTCGTTTCCTATATTTGTACCAGTGGTTCTGATCACTGTTTCGTCGTTTCCTATATTTGTTCCAGTGGTTCCGATCACTGTTTTCGTTGTTTCCCATATTTATTATTTGGGTAACATGGGTGGCGTTCGCGGCTAACGCGTCGTCTTTCACCGCCGTGAGTCAACATGTTAACCCTCGCATCCGTTTTTAGTGTCGGTCGTCACGCAACGCTCCCTCCCCACAAACGCGTTTGTGGGGAGGGAGCGTTGCGTGACGACCGAGACTAAAAACGGATGCGAGGGAGACTAGTGTGGACGGGGCCTAAATGTGTTGGTAGTGTGTGTGAGCGAAAAGTGTCCCCAATTAGTGCAAAAGCGCTAGAACGGGGAGACACTTAAATAAAAAGTGATTTTAATTTTTTTTTTTTTGTTCCGATCACTGTTTTGTTGTTTCGTATATTTTTTCCGGTGGTTCCGGCAATCTCGTACCCAGAGTCCTCCCGCGCCTTCCTATCGTCAGCGTGGCCAGGCTGCGCTGTCCCACGCACTGGTCCCGTTCCGTTGTACCAGTTTTCCCTCGTGTTTGCTTGTAAACCATCATCTAGTCCAGTCATTGAATCTACCATGCCTTTGTTAACTACAGTCGTTGGTTGCTTTCCCAAGCCAGAATACCTCCAAATACCGGACTGGTTTCGCACTACTCACAATGGGAAGTACACACAACAGTACAACGAGGTTTTAGATATTAAATCTCAAAGCGACGTCTCCGAAGTTCAATTCGATGATGCTTTGAAGAAAGCAACTACAGAGGTTTTAAAAYTTCAGGAAGAAATAGGAATCGATGTCATTACAGATGGTGAAATGGCGAGAGAAAACTACGTGCATTATTTTTGCCGTAGAATGAAGGGAATTGATTTCATAAAACTGACAGAGAAAAGTTCTCGTAACGGGGCTTGGGTAGCCGACCTCCCGACCATTGTTACCGAAATTGAAGCAATGGACAAGGAACCTTGGATTCAAGTCGAGTGGAAAGAATCTCAAAAGGTTGCAGAACGTCCAGTGAAGATTACGATCCCCGGTCCAATGACTATTATAAATTCAGTCTGCGATACCTACTACAAAAACGATCGTGAACTTAGTGGCGTTTTAGTCAAGATTATTAACAGAGAAATACAAGCCTTGGTGGCCGCTGGATGTCAGTATATTCAGGTATGTACGTATGTTCTATATCTTTAATCTGTAATAATGAAGGTACTCCTAAAACAGTTAAGACTATACTTTCTTAATTCCTCCTGAAATGACTGAAAAACAGTCACAAAATCGTGTAAACAGAGATATTTACTGGCGCTATTAACCACTAGAGTGCAACGCAAGTAACCAGAAAATCGTGTCACACCAGATTTATAAGTGCTTCTTCAACCGGGTCAGTCAACCGGCTTGCTGTGAACATAGGCTGTAGGAGAATATTTGGTTTGTGATAGGGAAAAAGCTCGTTAGACCAAATAAATCACTAATTACTCACTTGGATCTGTCTATCCATATTTTATTGATTGTTACGTAAGTCTCCGATGAATAGACACTTGAATGGTCTTTTTACGTCCTTAGTTTTCTTCGACAAATCAATCGTACCGCCATCTTTGTCTTTCTAATGAGCCCGCTATATCTTATTATGAAACACCGCAAATACAACAAAAAGTGGGCTCCCTGTGATGATGACGTTATCTGCGGTCTTTCCTAATAAGATATTGCAGGCTCATCAATAACAAAGAAGGTTTATCTACAGGCAACCCAGGCTCACTGCATTTATAAGAGAATGTATGGGGATTTAGAATATGCTGTATTTTATTTGGAAAAGCGTGAATAAAAGTTTGTCGACTTACCTGTTGTGTCAATTTGTTTATTTTGAGCTCCTGCATCCAGTTTTGAAGAATAAGGGTATTTAAGAAAAAACCCTTCAAAACTAGCTGAAACTGCATGCAGGAGTTCAAAACAAACAAATTGATACATACATTCTCTTGTAAATGTAGTGAGCTTGGGTTGCCTGTTGTTTATCAAAGGAAAAGGAGGTATAAAAGATTATTGAATTCATGTTTATTCATCAGAGACTAACATAACAATTAATAAAATATGGATAGACAGATGCAAGCGAGTAATTAGTGATTTATTTGGTCTACTAACAAGCATTTTACCTTTAACACAAACTACATATTCTCCTATAGCCCATGCTGTAAACTTAAAAAATGCAACACCATCCAGCACCACAGGAAGCCCAAGAGGAAAGAAAAGTCTCAACTGATTTTTCTCAAAAGATAATGGGCATTTGAAATGAAGTTGCGATTAAAACCAAGCCCTTTTCCAGAGTGCGTTCTTGTCTCGCTTTTTTTCAAACACTGCCATTTTGAAGAAGAATGCGAGATAAGAAGGCCCTGGGAACATAGTTGCGAGTTTTTTTGGGGGGGGAGGGGGGAATGCACCATCCAGGATTTAAGGAAAGGGTACACCCTTTGCCTAAAAACTCAAGCACCAATAATGCAGTAGATATCAGCTCATCTTAGGGAGGTGTGCTCCCCCTGCATCCCTCTGCTAGATCTGCCCCTGCGTATCACAAATAGTTCTAAATAAAGAGTGATTGGCAATTTCTTTCAATTATTTATTGCGTAAATTGTAAGAAATTGCCAAACAGTCTTCAAAGATTTAAAAATTCTTTTGCTGGTTYTAATTCCAGGTTGATGAACCAGTGCTGGTTCGTTTACCAGAAAGAGCCCTAGAATATGGAATAGACCACTTGGCAGCCTGCTTTGAAGGGGTACCAAGCACTGTTAACAAATGTGTGCACGTCTGCTGTGGATATCCTATATATTTTGTAAGTAGATGGGGGGGGGGGGTCAATGATTTCAATGGAACCTCCCTTTATAAGCCAATTTTGTTATTTATGCTCAGTAGAATGAAATTGATTAATATCATAGTTTTGAGTTTACAGCTATTTCAAAAAAGGTTGAATACTGCATACTGAATAGTGCATTCCCAGACTGAAGTTCATTGTGGGTCATAGTGACATTGTCTAAAGTAGGATTAATAATAATTATTTATTCTATTTTTGGTGTATTCCATCTGAACGAACATACTAACTACATGTAGACAGTTAATTGCTTAATATTTACTTTTTATTTTAAATTAACGAGACCCACAATGCCTTTGGTCTTGGAATGCCTCATTCAGTATGCAGTATTCAGTATTTAACCTTTTTTGAAATAGCTGTAAATGCGGGAAATATGTAAAAAGTAGTGTTTCCTGAACCCCTTCTAAAATCCTGGATCCTCATTTTGGTTTCCAAAACTTTCTTCTTAAAAAATGTGAAAAATAGCACATTCTTAATAAAATTGTCATCTGAGCTAAATCCCTATCTACAGATCCTACCAAGATCGGCGGGCCCTAAGTAAGTTAGATCGTTAGACCCAGTACTAGCCCCACTGTTTAGCAATTAGTCCTCAAGCATGAATGGGCTATTGACTCGTAGGCCATGAGGGAAAGAGAACTAATTGTTTTAGTCAAATCCAACTAGTCAGTCAAATATATAGATTGTTGAACTAAAGTTAAATTCAATTTTTTGGCTTTCAAAGCTGGCACTTTTCATTACTAAGTAGGCTATAACTTATAGCAGCTCATCCAATCAGAATGCAGCATTGATGATAGACTCCTAGTTGGATTTGGCTAAAAGTGTTTAGTTTGCTCTGTGCATTAACGTTTATTCATATATGCATGCTAAAAAGGAGCAAGAGGATTATGCCAAGGCCGAACTGGACGCTCTCCCAAAGATTGCAGACAAACTTGATCAAGCCGGTTTTGACCACATTTCAATAGAAGATGCTCATCGAACCAATGACTTGGACCTATTCAAACACTTCAAAAACTCCAAGGTAAAAATGCCTGTCTTATCCTAAGTAGTCAGTCAAAACAATCAAATTCATATGGAAACCGAAGCACACTTTAGCCCAATTCCATAGAGATTCCTCATTATAAATTATTACTAATAGACCGCTAGAAGCTTAGCCAACCAGAGTGCAGGATTTGTGATAGACCATTTGTAGGTTATGCTAATAATTATTATCTTATAATCTGTTTTCAGATTGTTTTGGGAGTTATCAAAATAGCCAGTAGTAAGCTGGAAACCGTCCAAGAGATAAAAGACCGTATAGCGCAAGTACTAACAGTAGTACACGCTGACCGGCTGGTGATCGCACCTGACTGTGGCTTAGGATTCCTACCGACACATCTTGCTATACAAAAACTAAAAAACATGGTTGAAGCAGCAAAGTCTTTTCCTTAATTCTGTTATAGTAATATTTATTTTTTTATTTTTCATTCGGGGGAAAGGGGGTATTATATAGGTCAGAGAAACTACCGCAAGTTCCAACTACGTACTATACTCTGCTCGTAGAGGAAATTTTTTTGCAATATTTATAGCTAATCGCACGAGCTCAAGCACAATTATTTAGATTTGATAAGTACTAGTACAAGTGATGTTTTGAAGGTTTTCAAAATTGTACTAACCTTTAGGCAAGTCCAATTTTAGAACTTTCAAAATATTACGCGTATCTGTCAATTCGTTATCTTAATTTGTTATTTTATATTCATAATTTCTTTTTTATTGTATTAAATTTATAATTAATATTCCTAATTGTACGAGAAGATTGCGATTTTTTGGAGACGAAATTCAGGATAAAAATTACTTTTTTATTACTATCGCTTAGCTGATTTTAATTCTACCCACGACCAGTGAATATCGTCTAATAATCGCTGATCGCTCAACCAATCACAGCGTGTAAAACCGTACATCAAGTCTAAAATTTTACTAAAAATAGAAAATTATAACACGTGTAATCTCAGAATTTTTTAAATGCATGTAAAGATAAAAACCACAATATTATCAGAATGTTCTCCACATCCTGCTTGATTAATTTTTACTTCTTTTACGGTTACTCTGGACAACGGATTCAAACCTAGCTTGGGCTTCATGTATGTACCGTGGATCAATAAGCCTTTTCATAGTTTAAGAATCGATTCCACTGCGCATGCGATTTTATCCCGAATTTCTCACCTTCTTTTGTCTAAATCTTCTTTGTTCTTAATTAAACAAAAGAAGGTTAGAAATTCGGGATAAAATCGCATGCGCAGTGGAATAGATTCTTAAACTATGAAAAGGCTTATTATGGCCGGCTGAACGCAGGCTATAAAGGGAACCCGGCTATTCTCTACTTTCACATCCCCATAGAATACTTTGCGTCTTTGGGGGTAACCAGAGGGTAAAAACCCACATCATTGGAAAAAAATTGCCCATGCATTTGGAATATTTGCTCTTTTCGGTCTTTTTCCTCTCTTTCCAAAGCAAAAGGTTGTTCTTAAAAGTAAAGTTATATAGCACAAGTAAACTGCGTGACACAACATCCTAAATGACCTTGTAAATCTTCTGTTCTTCGCGAACCGCTGTAGTTAGCGTGTTTACGAGGCTACGAAACCTAAGAAACCATAAGAGGCGAATGTATAGGCCAACAGATAGTATGAGCTTATAAAATCAGCAAAAATACGGTTCTAAATTTTAACAAATTCCTATGAATTATATACCAAAATGTTCAGGAAAGCCCGGGGTTTTCAAATCCACTTCTGTTTTTTGAAAGGTTATGTTTTATTTCAAGGAGAGACGATTTTCTAGCTTGACCCTAGTCCAGACGCTGTACCCTCTCCTTTGCCGCTCCGCTTTTGTTTTTGGGCTTCCTGTGTCGCGGAAGGAAAGGAGAGGGTACAGCGTCTGGACTAGCTTGACCCCGGTTACGTCATGCATTTTCTCTTGTAAAATACGTCCCGGCAATAGCGTACATTCAACTCAAAAAGTACGGTGGGTCTTTTTTCAATAGAATTCAATCTAAACCATATAATACAGTCCGTGAATAGTTGAATTAACTGAATCCACTTCTGTTTTTTGCCTAGATAGTCATTATTTTGAGAAAAGATCCAAAACCGTGTTTTTGAGACATAATTTGTATGGGCTCACATGAGGGGGCGTGAGCTTGAAATTGTAGCTGACCAAATGATAACAGATTTTTTCTGATGTTGCTGAAGGCTGATCAGAAAATGCTGACAATACCCCGTTGGTATCCAAAAATAAAATGAAGAAGTAAAAAACAGAAAAAGATAGAAGCTTGAAGACGTTTAAGGTAAATTTAAAAAAAAGTTTCGTAAGTCAATACATTTTCTGTAAGACCAAAACTCTTCATGATCTGTACACGCAAAAATAACTTGGAATAAACTGATAATCAGTATTGCACAGATAAAAGCAGGTATAGTATAAATTCCATTAAGAAACTTTTCAATTTGGGACAGTTTTTTGGTTGGTTACCGCCCAAAGACGCAAGGTATTATGGGGATGTGAAAGTAGAGAAAAGCCGGGTTCCCTGTGAACATCTTGGTTTTCTTAGACTTGAACCAGATCGTTATTTGTAGTCTTCTCTTCACTGAATCAACCATGCCTTTGTTAACTACAGTAATTGGTTGCTTCCCCAAGCCAGAATACCTCCAAATACCCGACTGGTTTCGTAAAATGGAAACTTTCTTAGGAGATTACACGAGGTTAAAAGTCGAAGGCCTTGGGTCAAAAGACCACTTGGATAATACTTTAAAGAAAGCAACTACAGAGGTTTTAAAACTTCAGGAAGAAATAGGAATCGATGTCATTACAGATGGCGAAATGGCGAGAGAAAACTACGTGCATTATTTTTGCCGTAGAATGAAGGGAATTGATTTCATAAAACTGACAGAGAAAAGTTCTCGTAACGGGGCTTGGGTAGCCGACCTCCCGACCATTGTTACCGAAATTGAAGCAATGGACAAGGAACCTTGGGTTCACGTCGAGTGGAAAGAATCTCAAAAGGTTGCAGAACGTCCAGTGAAGATTACGATCCCCGGTCCAATGACTATTATAAATTCAATCTGCGATACCTACTACAAAAACGATCGTGAACTTAGTAGTGTTTTAGTCAAGATTATTAACAGAGAAATACAAGCCTTGGTGGCCGCTGGATGTCAGTATATTCAGGTAGGTACGACCTTTCTTAATTCCTTCTGAAATGACTGAAAAACAGTCACAAAATTGTAAAAACAGAGATATTTACTGGCGCTATTAACCACTAGAGTGCAACACAAGTATAAAACAGAAAATTGTGTCACGCCAAAATGAGCAAGAATTTTATTTATTAGTGCATCTTCAACTAGTCCGCCTTCACAGCAGTCATTGGTTTCGGTCCCCGATCCGTTTCGGCTGCGGTGGAGCTTTGCTGTAAATAAGCAAATGCAACAGAATTTTATGACAGAAACACCATCCAGCACCACAGGAAGCCCAAGAAGAGAGAAAAGTCTCAACTGACTTTTCGCAAAAGATTAAGGGCATCTGTTTTCCAACAGTGCAGTCGATATCAGCTCATTTCAGAGAGTTGTGCTCCCCCTTCACCCCTCTCCTAGATCTGCTCCTGCATATCACAAATAGTTCTAAACAGATAAATAAAGAGTGGTGTAAATTCTAAGAAATTGCCAAATAGTCTTCAAAGATTTAAAAATTCTTTTGCTGGTTCTAATTCCAGGTTGATGAACCAGTGCTGGTTCGTTTACCAGAAAGAGCCCTAGAATATGGAATAGACCACTTGGCAGCCTGCTTTGAAGGGGTACCAAGCACTGTTAACAAATGTGTGCACGTCTGCTGTGGATATCCCAATCACCTTGTGAGTACATAATTAAGAAATGAAGATTTTTCCCTGCACCGTTCATCATACTGATGTTATTGGATTTGCGTTCTAATAGCGCAGCACACTGATTCTTAAAATAGCTTAAAGATTCGGACAAACATTGCATTCTGTTTAACCGCTACGAGGATTATACGAACCGATTTTATTATTTTTACTTAAAGTTGCAATAATAACCCATGTAAACTAAGTTCAACTGCGATCGGCTGTGAAAATTATCTGCTGAAAGTAAACTTGTAAGTTTGTTTGTCCGTATTTCGCCTTTGTCTTCGTTTTTATGACGTCACGACTGCGCTGCGCTATTGGTTGATGGAGCGTGCATTATGAGAGCACATAGCATGCACGTTAATTTTCTATTTCGTCATTCTTATCCATATTCATTGCTATTCTTATTTTAATCTTATAAATGATACGAAACTTGCTCACTGCTTCTGCAAAAGCTGTTAGGGATTAACAAAACACTTGAGTTGGGCTCCACTATGCGTTACACTTCTCTCATATTCTGCCAACCCCCACATTTGGTTATCGGGTTAGCAATTGTTCACATAGACTGAAAGGACCTTTGAGTGACGTGCAATAGAACAAATCTATTGTGTTTCCTTGTTCTATTCTGTAATCCAATACTTATCCTTTCCTGCCGAAATGAACGAGTACAAACCATTTTATGGCATGCAACCATTAGATAACTGGTAGTACGAATGCAGATGCAGTCTTGTATATGGGAAAATTATCTGGCCTCCCATCTTCTAGCCTCCTACCCAAGCCATCTCAGTTGACCTTCTGAACAAACTCAAGGTCAACCAATCAGAATTGAGCTTTCGACCGTTCTATTTTGATTACCATTTCCCAAGATTCTGCTAAGAGAACCCATGAAATGCGAATTCTTCATTCTTTAAATTGATCGTAAACGCTAGTCGAACTCAGGGCGGAATCTCATTTCTAATTACATCGACAAGAGAAATTTACATTGCACTCAGTCCCTGCTAGGGAAATGCTAGCCCAAAATAGTTGACCCATAATCCCTTTCCGTAAACGCGGACGACTTAATTAGCTGGAGACGTCAGTAAGTTTACACGTAACGCTTAAGGAGGGAGAGAGAGAAGAAACGTTGCGTGACGGCTATAGTGACGTCAGCTTGGTATACTATCCATCAAGATATTTTGTTTTCTGACAGGACGACGAGGATTACCCTAAAGCAGACCCTGGCGCCTACTTGATGTTGGCTGATAAACTTGATCAAGCTGGTTTTAATGGGATGCACATCGTTACAATGATTTGGAATTATTCAAGCACTTCAAGAAGTCTAAGGTGCGTGAGCTTATTGGTAGCGAGGAACCTTCATTTTTAATCTAAATCGTTTTATATTACATAATGTTGGTAACCATGATAATGACGATGACGTAACGGTGATGATGATGAAGATGGTTGTGGTTGTGGTGTTGACGACAATGGCGATGCTGGTAGTGATGATGACAATAATAGTGGACATGATGATCGTGTTGGCGGGGACGACAGTGATGTTGGTGGTAATGGTTGTGACGATGGTGTTGATGTTCGTGATGATAATGACAAGGGTGGTGGGGTTGACGATGATGGTGATGATGTGGATGATGATGATGATGTTGATTTCAATGGCTATAATGATGTTGGTGACGATAATGGCAATGATGACGGTGGTGAGGATGTGGATGACGATAGTGATGATGATGCTGATGACTGTAATGATGTGGGTGATGACGATGATGACGATTATCTGATAATCTGTTTTCAGATTGTTTTGGGAGTTATTAAAATAGCGAGTAGTAAACTGGAAACCGTCCAAGAGATAAAAAAACCGTATAGCGCAAGTACTAACAGTAGTACCCGCTGACCGGCTGGTGATCGCACCTGACTGTGGCTTAGGATTCCTACCGACACATCTTGCTATACAAAAACTAAAAAACATGGTTGAAGCAGCCAAGTCCTTTCCTTAATTTTGGTTAAAGGTTAGAGCAGGCAAAAATGTAGCCATTTAAATAATATGTGGTTTAAATACATTATCAATTTTGTGGTTTTAATTCATAGTTCTAAATTTATGCCCCAAACCTATAAACTTTAAAGATTTTTTTACTAATAATTAATACTTTTCGAAATTAAGGAACCATTTATTGATATTTTAGCTATTCATTAGCAAGATCTTTATTGGGTTGAATTCAATCCATTAATCATAAAACTTAGCATAAACATCAACACACACTCTGCCTTGATTATCGCCCTCTGCCGAGTTCTTGAGGTCTTCTCCGTACCAGACTCTGAGCTGCCGATACTGCTCGAGGTAGAATGGTGTCCCATAGTTGACAAAGACCAGTTCGTCTGACAGGAGGTCGTCGGTACCTGGTAAATAGTACCAGAGGTTACTGGTCTTAAAGTATTTGGAAGCAGGATAGATGACGTTGTCTTCTTGGTCTGTGATGACCACGTTAAGGGGATAGTTGACGAAGGACGAGTAGTGGTGGCATCCCCAGCGGCTGTCGTAGGCAACATTAGACACACATCTGGAAAAAAGAGAAAGTAATGTGAATGAAATGGTCCATTAGATGGAAGGACTGTTGTCTAACAACCGGGTTGTACGTCAAGAGCAATTTGTAGGATGTGTTTTGTAGAACAGAATGATTCTATTCTATATTATGGTTTTAGAACTTTACAGGCCTTGGCTTTTTCCGTTTTTTCCAACCAACCGACCAACCTATCAACCAGCCAGCTATCAAACCAATCAACCGACCAAATGACCGACCAACCAACCAGCCGCACCAAACCAATCAACCTATCAACCAACCAGCTATCAAACCAAT